AAAAAAAAACATTAATGTGGCCAATAAACATATGAAAAAAATGCTCACCATCACTGGTCATTAGAGAAATGCAAATCAAAAACACATTGAGATACCACCTCACACCAGTTAGAATGGCCATCATTAAAAAATCAGGCGACAACAGATGCTGGAGAGGATGTAGAGAAATAGGAATGCTTTTACACTGTTGGTGGGAGTGTAAATTAGTTCAACCATTGTGGAAGACAGTGTGGCAATTCCTCACAGATCTAGAACTAGAAATACCATTGACCCAGCAATCCCATTACTGGGTATCTACCCAAAGGGTTATAAATCATTCTACTATAAAGACACATGCACACTTAAGTTTATTGCAACACTATTTACAATAGCAAAGACTTGGAACCAATGAAATTGCCCATCAATGATAGTCTGGATAAAGTAAATTTGGCACATGTATACCATGGAATACTATGCAGCCATAAAAAAGAATGAGTTCATGTCCTTTTCAGGGACATGGATGAAGCTGGAAGCCATCAATTTCAGGAAACACAGGAACAGAAAACCTGTTCTCACTCATAAGTGGGAGTTGAACTATGAGAACACATGGACACAGGGAGGGGAACATCACATACTGGGGCCCGTCAGGGGTTGTGGTGCAAGGGGAGGGAGAGCATTAGGACAAACACCTAATGCATGTGGGGCTTAAAACCTAGATGCCAGGTTGATAGGCACATGTATACCTATGTAACAAACCTGCACGTTCTGCACATGTATCCCAGAACTTGAAGTATAATAATTTAAAAAGGATGATGTATTTACATGCTCTCCTTCTATACCACCCCTGCCTCCTCCCTGACCACTTATATGCACCTGTCCTTGAGGGTCCACATAGAAAAGTCTTAAGACTGTAAGGGGACCATGTGCTTATTGACCGTCTCTGTGTTGCATACTGTGTGAGTTTAATTAAAGGCTCACAGTTTAGGAAGAAAAACATTCTCCTCAAAGCTGTAATCTCCTGAGAGAGCAATATATAAATGTGGTAAACTATCTGTAGAAAGAAAAAACTGATGAGGATAGAAAGATGAAGACAGAGAGATGATAGATGGTAATGAATAGATTGATACATCAGTAGATAGATTGATAGCTGGATAGGTAGATGTATGGTAGATAATTAGTTGGATGATAAGTAAGTGGATGATAGGTAGGTAGACAGACAAACCAGACCCCTCTGAGGAGATGGAATAAAATTAAACTACAGTCTCTGCCCCTGTACCATCTTATCCAGGTTCCAGAAGAACATGAATAGTTCAAAGGCTATTTCTTTCTCTAATCAGGTGAAATCTACCCCCAAGCGCCAAGATATGATTCACTATAAGAAGATGACCCAGATTGGAGACAGTGGGGGGCCCTGGTCCACCAAGAAGGTTTTTATGGCAACCAGCACTCAAAGGAATGTGAAGTGTTTAAGCCTCAGGCCTTCCAGCTGAGTCCTGGGGCCAAGAGGAAAGTTACAGAAAAACGGGCCCTGGCACTGCATCCCTAGCCTAGCTAAGACTGTCAGGAGCTGGGAGCCCAGATTTTCCCCAAGCCTGTGATGCTGTTGTGTGTTTGCCAAAATTAGGTCGAATCCTGCTATGCTCAGAAACGAGCTTAGCATAAACCTGTCCAGGCCAAGTACCTGTAACCAGGAAGTCACAGACTCTCCACAGAGTCCCCAGTTCCCTCCAAAACAACTCAGACCCCCTCCACCCATGTTGCTTCAAACAGACAGCTTTCATTATGTTATAGGGATGAACAAAGGATGTGTGGGGAGGGTTCCTCTTCTCCACAGCTCCTTCTTCCCCACACCATTTACAAACAGAGATACTAAGGGACTGCTGCTGAGTTTTAACACAAGACTTGGATCCTGAAAGCTATCAAAGAAATTGCAGTGAGATCTGACTAAAGAAATAAAATTGGATTTTCTCCAAAGGTTTTAGTTTATGTATAGATTTAAGATACATATAGGGAAAAAAATCATGACTAGTAAATAACTCTGATGCTGTTTTTTAAATTCTGTCCTTTAATCTTTTTAAATATTTTTAAACAATAAATGTTGTATCCAAGTGAGTCACAGAAGAATCACCATGCTCTGAGTTCAAATTACGAGTCCTTTATTGTCGGTGACTAAGAGATGGCTAATGTTCAAAATTCTCTCAGTCCCGAGAAAGGGGCTTGATTATCTTTTATACCTTGCTTTTAGGTAGGGGAGGAGGCACCTAGCTGAAGCAGAATTTTACAGAAGCAGAACTAGCAAGCTAGTAGGAGGCTGGTAACCAGGAGGCAAGAGGTTCCCATAGTTGCTGGTTACTAAGAATATTTCCATACAATCATCAAGGTGGGTAGCGGGGGGACTTTTCATACAATCAATCACCAAAAGAGGTATTCACAATAGCAGGTGTGCTTGCCAAGCAGGATGTACAGGTACTGAACACAGCGTGACCCAAACCTCAACGGTTCAAAGCTCTGAGTACTGCATGACTCAGTAACATACCTGTGGGGGCTGTTGCTGGGAGGGAAAAGCTAGGATGGAGCTTACAGCTAAGATGGAGTCAGTTAGGCTAACACAAGTTAGGTTATTACAGTAAATCCTTTTCAAATCTGACCGCAGGAATATTACATCACTTTGATAGTTGGCAACCAAAATCCTTGATTAAATTTAACTGGTGAAGCCAGGGTCTGGAATGGATCAGGACTATCTCTAGTATTGAAAGACATTAAATTTTAAGGGATAGAGGGAAGGAAGTAGGGATAAATAGATGATAGAGAAATAGACTCATCCTGGTACAGAGGCCATTGTGTGTAAATCACCAGCTCCTGTGACTATTTTGTAACCTGGCCTTCTGTGATCTTCCCTCCAGAATACAGATAAATCTGCTCATCTGTTAGCTGCTGAGATATTTGCAAATGTGATCTCTCTTTAACTTCCTTGAATATTTTTAATAACATGAATAATATATATTCCATTAAAAGTATGCATTTCATATTGGTATTTCAAAGGTTGGGACAGGTTGGCATATTATATATATTTTATTCTAGGTAGACATCACAGGGTTGGAAGTGCGTGCTCTAGACCTAAATTGTCTGGATTTAACTCCTGGCTTTACTACTTATTAGTTGTAAGACTGTGGGTAAATTTCTTAACTCCTCTATGTTCTGTGTTCTTGTCCTGAGGGAAATAAGAGAACTTCTGTCACTGAGTGGTGGTGAGGTTAAATGAGTTCATGAAGAAATCCTAAAACCTGACT